CTAACAGTTTTCCCCTGCCCCAGGTAATCAGAGGACAGACCTTCGTCTCTTTCTATTATTGAAGTGTCAATAATTACTGCTTCAGTGACCTTGCCAGGTTTAATCAACAGTTCAAATAATTTCAACAGTTTTATAAATCCATCATTTTGTATTGTATAGAATAAGATCAATCAATTATTAAATAAGATATTGATTCATTGCATGTTTACAAAAATTTAAGTTTCTGAGGTAAATGATCAAATTAACTTTTTTCTCCAATTTTCTCATTGATATCATAATAAAATTGAGGGGGGATACAATTCCTATGGGGGGGATACTTTTCCTATGGCCATTTATTGTATCCGGATACTTATCCTATGGCCAAATATTGTAACCGGATACTTATCCTATGGCCAGTTTTGGTATCCGGGTACTTATCCCATGGGGGATACAAATCTCACATGACACCGGCATCGTCCGTCGTGCATCCGTAAACAATTAACATTTTCGACTTCTTCTCCAAAACCCCCGAACCAATTTCAATGAAATTTTGCAGGAACCTTCCATGGACAAAGGTCAACAAAACTAGTGGCCGGTTTAGTCCCAAGCCCCCAAGGGCCTGAGGGGCGGGGCCAAAAAGGGTCAAATTGACTATAATTTCAAAAATCTTCTTCTCAAGACCCAGATATGGTAGAATTAAATACTCTTCATAGATGGAAGGGTCTTAAGGTGCGTTACCAAAATTGTGAATTTCTTGACCCTGGGGTCTCACGTTTCCCCCTGGGGAGGGGGTAAACTTTACTATGGTTTATATAGGGAAATCACATTTTGGACCAACATTTGTTTAATTTCCATTGGAAGTATTTCAATTTGGGTTAGCATTATCAATATTAGGTAGCAGTTTGAAAGTATGCACATATGAGCCCTGACTGACCCCCAGGGGCTGATGGATGGGGCCAAAAAGGGTTGAATTGACTGAAATTTCAAAAAAAATCTCAAGACCCAGATATGGTAGAATCAAGCACTCTTCATAGATGGAAGGGTCTTAAGGTTTATGACCCTAGGATCTGTATGCTAGATATTGAATACGGTGGTTTTATTGTTTTTTGTCACTTTGAATAATATTTCTATTCATGTTAAAAACAAAATCAACTCTCTGTATAAATATATCAAGTGACCATTAAGGCCCATGGGCCTCTTGTTCTTTTAGCCCTTGAAGTGACGAAGCAATAATTATGGTTCCATCACTTGTAAATGTGAAATAATAAAGAGATGAAATAGCATAAATGATGGCCAGGATTTAGGTGGCCTTCAGAATCCAATGTACAACTGATATAGTGTGAAAGAAATTTGAGAATTTAAAATTTCAAAATCAACTTTTAAGATCTTGATTTGAAAATCAAATTTAAATCATAAACCAGCTAAATTCAAGAGGAAGTTGTCTTTTTCAGACATTTTCTAAATTAACTTTAAAACAATTTATACCTGCTCATAACATCTTTGTCTAGGTGCTGGAATTCGAACATCTTGTCAATACATCAAAATAACTATGGGAAGTACCAAATCATCATACACAAGAACAAAAACAAAAAAACACAAAAAAATCAGGATGCCTTAATATCTGACCCTACAAAATTGATATCATTTGATAAGATTTTACATTTCATTCATTGCAAATTTGTTGTAAATAAAGATTTTATCGATTAAAATAAAATTAATTTTACGCCTAAATAGGTTTCCATTCAAGAACATTGCTCATCCCAAAATGGACATAGTAATTTAAATGTAAATGTTTATATTCCCAGCCTCAGACCATAGGTTTGTTGCATACATTGTTTGAACCTGTTGTGCTGGTAGGTACAAGTTTTACTCATATAGCCAGGGCCAAATTGTATTGGATCACTTAGTAAAAGTATTGAGTATTTGCTTATATGTAAAAAATTGTGAAGAGCATTGGAAATATCCCTTTGAGGTTGTCAATTTTTGTCTTGCCGTGACGAAGTAGCGAACGTGAGACTAAGGTGTTGTTTTTCCGGGGACAGCAGCGTTGTCAACATTGAGTTTTTTTCGTTGTAACTTAGTTTCGCTGAAAGTATAAGTGCTAGACCAACCAAACTTAGTTTCACTGAAAGTTTAAGTGCTAGACCAACCAAACTTGGACCATACATGCATCTTAGTTAGTACATCTCAACCCATGCATCAAATGCTGGATGCAGCCTACCTTTTATGGTCCATTGACTTTGTCAGTATCTCCATCAACATTACATTTATGTGTTTAAGTTAGTTTCTTGATGCATTGATGATCAAAGTGGGGCACAGGCGAGGCATACCAATCTGAATGGCTCGTCTTTATGAATGATGTTTTTGTTCCCAGGGCAACAGGTAGCAGAGGAAATGTTGGATGTCCAGAGACCAGGGTGTCCAAGGGAATATGAAAATATTGTTGTCCCTGATGATGATCCTCTGTACACGCCTGGAATCCAGATGCCTTTTATTCGTTCAAGGTTTGATGCCAGAACTGGGCAGTCACCAAGCAACCCACGACAACAGGTAAATGTCACCCTGGTAAAATACTAGCTGCTTCCTACCGACTCAGCTAGAGTGAATTTCTCTTCAGCTCATTTGGTTGAGCGTAAGACTAGTAAGCTGGAGGTTCTGGTTCGACTCCTGGTGGAGGCATTGAAAATATAATGACCTCTGTTACATTGGCGTCTACAAAGGGACCCGGGAGATTTGACAAAATACTCAGCGATACTCGCAAAGGAATCGCTATGACCTTTGGAAAACTTGAGACAAGTTCTTTCCTGGAGGGGGATTACGCCACCCTGGTAAAATACAAGCCACTATACAAGCCGCTTCCTACCGACTCAGCTAGGGAGAATTTGTCTTTAAGCTCATTCGGTAGAGCATAAGACTAGTAAACTAGAGGTCCCAGGCTCAACTCATGGCAGAGGCATTGTTACATGAATATTAAACATATACAGATACAAACCCAGGTGAAAATATAAAACAGTTAGCAACACACAATAACAAGTAAATACTAAGTGTCTAGAAGTAGAAACCCATGACAACAGGTAAATTTCAATCACCTAACTGCCGATAACAACAGGTAAATATAAGAAAGAATATTTTTCATGTTTTATTACAACATTACTGGTACTTGTATATATATATATTTGACTGCACATTGTTTGCAATTATTGCTCAAGATATACATCTATATTACAATATAGCTTTAATTTAGGACCAAGCTCTTTTGAGGTTGGTAATTAAGTGACTGAAAACTTAATTATCTGGTATATTTGAACAAAAAGTAGTGACAACTGACAATGTTGTATTTAGCAATTCAAATTGTCATTCAAAAAGTACTGATAATATCTCTCAAAATCTCAATTTAAAAAACTTGAGTCCCTACAGTGTAGTAAGGGTTTTCGCAACCAGGATTCCAGACATTAAAATGACAGATTACAATAGCCCATTTACCTGTGATTTCCCATTTCAGCTTAATGAGATTACTCCTTACCTGGATGGTCAGCTGATGTATGGTCCAGCTAAGGCCTGGACAGATGCTATTCGTGCATTTGAGGGAGGTCGACTGAAGGCTCTGGATGGCAAATACGCACCAATAAAGGAGAGCTTCCCTGCCATAAATGACATTCAACTCCCATTTGCTAATCCACCAAATCCAAGAGAGCAAACCACAGAAGAACGACTGCGGCCTGTTGCAAGATTCTGGCGTAACTATATTTATTTTTAACAGAGTATTTAAAAATATGCATGCCTATGAGCTTATCATTTTGTAAAGGATACAATCATATGTAAGCTAATATTAGTGTTGTTTGCTTTTCCTATCTATCCATACATCTTGGTTCACTCTTAAATTTGGCTCCCTATATATATAGCTATCCCTCGTATTGATAAAAGTTCCAAAGTCACCAGATACTTCCTGAGGAGTACTACACTGTATAACAGGTTGTTCACTGTAATCTCTTTTTTCTGCTTCACTGACATTGGTTCAACTTTCTGTTCAGCTTCATTTTATTTGTGTGGGTCCATTTCTCTTACACTACAATTACATCTTCATCTTGCTTTATATACATGTACTTTTTGAGGAATACATACATTATGTGATATGTTGGTCACTTTGACTTCTATTTCCAACCTTACCTCCTTTGTTTTGATTTTGCATTTAGATCCTATTTTATGATACTCAAAGAGTTACAGTCATCAAACTATATATATCCTTATGAATTCGATACAACACCATCATGTGATCTATACTGACTTTGGTTTAAACAGTGGTTTCTCTCTAGTTGTTTTTAATAAAAATGGCCTACACTGTTTGGTTTAAAAACTATATAAATATAGGATGTCAATTGTAAATTTCATTTCACAAAGATTTTGTTGAATATTGTACAAATTTAAGAGAAATTGCATGGGCAACAGGCGTAATGCATAAACAAGCCCTCCCCTGATTGTAAATGAGATTGGCTTGTTAATCATATTGTTAATGATAGTATGATCTTGACCTTGAGATCCCTGAGGGTTCAATATGGTATTGATATGACCTTGACCTACATACCTGGTGAAACCCTGAGCATTTAAGATATTGTTTATGTTGATAATTATGTGCTGTTTACTTACAGGTTTGGGAAATCCTAGAGGTTTTGAGAACCCTTTCATGCTGTCTATCGGTGTGATGTGGTTTCGTCTTCACAACTTCTGGGCAGACATGATCAGCCGGGAACATCCTGACTACACAGATGAGGCTTTGTTCACTGAGGCAAGGAAGTGGGTTGTGGCCATGCATCAGGTATGTAGGCCTTTTTCCGTAATATATGATGTGGTCAGTTTTCCTTTCAAAGTCAACAAATACATATCGTGGTACTGTCTGCCCTTAAAGAATTTGTCAGATCTGATTGCCTCATTGTCAGACAATTCTGACTTTATGGGATAAACTGAGTTACAAACTTTAAAACACAGTTTCTACCAAACCACAACTTGGTGTAGTTAAGGACTTTTGTTTGATTTAATGGCCCTGACCCACTTTCAAGATTATAAATGTCAAATCTGATAAACAATAGTTATTATGTTTATTTAGGCTCTGGTATTAATACCATTAAAGCATGTATATTCTGACACACAGTTGAACACATGTCTTTGAATACAATACATTAAAAAGGTAACTGATGGTGAAGTACAAATAACTTAAGGGATCAGATCGCAAAACACACCAACAAGAACATTTTGAGGTGATTCAACAGTGTCCTCCATCCCCAGTCGCTATCCTCTATTCCCTATTCCAGGTACTTCAACTCCTTACCACAGTCTTCCATTTGTCTCCCATTCCCTCCCTATTGCAAGTCTCTAGTTCATGAGCCCTAAGGCCAAAAAAAAAATGATTACTTGGTATATCAATCTCAGGATTGATATACAGGCAATCGTTAAAATGATTATGACTTATTAGTCTCACCTACAAATGGCGCTCATTTCGGTACAAATAAGGAATGGGGGTGTTCGTGATTCTTGTCTGGAACATCGTGGGGGGGGGGGGGGGGTGCGGAGGCTTGCTCTATGACGGGTCTCTACACAACTTTAAAAAGACAAGGTAATGCCCACAATGAACGTTTTACAAACTACACAATGAAAAACAAAATCGCCCTTGTCTCATTTTTATACGCCCGTCGAAGACGGGGACGTATTATGTTATCACGTGGGCGGGCGGGCGGGCGGGCAAACGATGTCCGCTCGATATCTCGAGTAATTATTAACGGATTAACTTCAAACTTCACAACAAGGTTAATTACCATGAAACCTC